AGTGAAGATGGAACACAGCAGGTATGCTGGTAGATCCGATTCCGCAGTAGGAGGATGAAGGATTCTTGTCCAGTCAATTCTGTGTTCTCAAAGAACTGTGAAGCAACTATGAAGGTCTTAATTTGCCTTTTGAATGTCTTTAGCATATGAGCTAGTAGAAAGACGACTGCCTTATTGTCAGCTGAGACGATAACTAGGGAGGCCCTGGCCAGAGGAACTGATGGAGACACTGATTATTTATCAAGAAAGTTGCTTATCCTGTTGGTGAATGTGCTTCTCAACTTTGAAACAAGAGCAATAAATATTGTATTGATCAGATACTGGAGAATTCACGCTTGAGATTTCTGCTTCTGGAAATATGGCTAGCTAGAGGTCCAGAAACACCTGAAACATGGAATAAACGTTAAAATAGTTCTAAAATGCACGGCAGAGCTGGCAAAAAGTAAGAGCAATTCTGCGGGGCTAGAAACAACCAGAAGGCACGAATTCAGGGAGGTGAGCTGCAGGTAAAGCCAGTGCTGTCCTTGTTGCCCGCAGACCACTGGGTACCTAGAGCCTGGGTTTTAACAAGCTCCACACCTGCAGTACAGGAAAAAATGCCTGAGCTGGGGATGAGAAGTCAGATTGAACCCCGGTAAACAAGAAAATAAAATAAAATAAAATAAAACAGGAGCCTAGAATAGAAGCACTCTCAGTGAGTGAACTTAAATAATAAAATCTACCAGCCAGAGAGGAAGGTTAACATAAGTCTGTCCTGTCCTTGGCTCTTTTTGGAGGGGAGAAACTGTGGGGGGAAAGTCTTCTTTGAGAATAGCTATCCATAAGACTACACTTAAAAGGGTTTGGGGGGGCCGGCCCAGTGGCGCACTGCTACAGTGCGCCGCTTGGGAGCGCAGCGGCACTCCCACCAAGGGTTCGAATCCCACATACAGACCGGCGGCTCACTGGCTGAGCGAGGTGCAGACGCAACACCGAGGGTTGCGATCCCGTTGCCGGTCCCGGTCTTTTTTTATTTTTAAAAATTTTTAATTTTTTCTTTAAATTTTAAAACATGTACAGAGAAGACCAAAGGGGCCCAAAAATTTGTCCAGAGCAGCTAATGCTCATTGTAAGACTGTCACATTCAGGACGGCCTGCAATGCACCTCGTTCTGCTTTAGTCACTACGTAGGATGATGGTAAACACTCAAAGTCTCCCACATTTTCCCAACCTCTCATATAAGTAAAAAAATGCTCAGGATACATTTCTGCTGCTCTTCTACTACCAATTCTATTACGCCGTGACTAGCTACAAACTCATCGTCTGGATTCTTGAACTTTCCTTTACAATATAAGTAAAAAAATGCTCAGGATACATTTCTGCTGCTCTTCTACTACTAATTCTATTACGCCGTGACTAGCTACAAACTCATCGTCTGGATTCTTGAACTTTCCTTTACATCCTCTAACTGACCACAAGCCTTTGAGATAAAGAGGGACAGAAAACACAGAAAACAAGTTTGCGCACTGAGAAGCCACAGAGTAACCAAATCAACCAAGACCATGGCTTCTCTTTGTGAGAGCCACGGTCCTCCTGTCCTGCATTCTCTCTTCAAGGTATATACATCCATGCACCTTTTCCACGTTGACTTGTCTGAAGAACGTGCTGTGGAAGACTGAAATAAGTCCATTTTTACTATCTCCCCACGGCATGATTTCCTTCCTCGTAACTTCCATGACATCTCATGTGTCTTTCCCTTTGAAATCAGAAGCAGCCTTGGAAAACAATGGCATTCAAACAGGCAGAGGTTAATCTTTCTTTGCTATTCATTATAGTTTCCACTTTGCTCTATGCCCTTGAGATATCTTAAATTCAAGGATAAACACACAGGATCCAAGTTCATGCCCCCAAACTACTCACATCTTCCTGGAAAAGACGTTCCCAACAAGAAGTCTCCTCTCTACCTGTTAGATGATGATAAGTTGGAATAGTAGAGAAATTTAAATTAACCATTAAAATCTTTTGCTGTGCATCAGCACTTTTCAAACTGGGGTATGAGGTGGCCGGATGAATCATGAAACCACAAGATAAAACCCTTGCTTCTCTTTGAAACTTCAGTTTTACTTGAAGATTTGAAGAGAGATTTTTGTCTTAATATTAAATAAGCACAAGTATATTAAAGAGTAGACTGCCAAGTTTGCATGGTTTTGTGGGGTTTTTTTTAAATAAAATATGAGACTTCAAAGAAATTTTAGATCTCTAGACAGACCGCTTCCAGCCCCCTAAATCCGAGAGGCAAAGATTCCCTCTCTTCTCCCATGGGGGTATTTCAGATGCTTGGGGAAGATTCTTGCTATCTGGAAGAATAAGAAAAGTGAACAAACTCACATGTCAGTCTGGCAAAATGAAAATGCCTGGAGGATAAGACAGGTATCGTCTAGAATGAGAATGTACAGAAGCCACATGGTAACCAATTAAGAGATGAGAGGGTGGACCTAGAATACTAGACCAAGGAAGCCCGGCTCACCCTCTTGCTTTGCAGCCTTGCAGAATGCACGTAATTTTCCTGAGTCTCAGTTTCCTTGCCAGTAAAATAAAGGAGTTGTACTAGAAGAAAAGCCACAATGACTTAAGATTTTTGAATAGTTTCCAACATTTAAGACTTAGGAGATGTCAAATAAAAACCTAGAGGTTGCCTTCTCTTGAAAAATGAGAACATGTCATCCCTGAGCCCATATTATTTCTACATGACAATTATTTGTTGGAGTGAAGCGGTGTCATTCTTTAGACAGGGCACAAGTCCCTCCCACATCCTAGGGGCTCACCTGGGCCAGTTTCCTCCCTGCATTGACCCGCCTTGCCTGACTCTATTGACCCTGTCCAGTCCTGTAGCCCCCAGCCACATGAAGCTACTTAAATTTAAATGTAAATGAATTAAAATTAAATAAACTTAAAAATTCAGTTCTTTAGTCACAACAGCCAATTTTCAGTGCTCCCTAGCCACATGCAGCTTGTGGCACCAAACTGGACATCACAGATGTAGAATAGTTCCATCATCACAGAAAGTTCCATGAGACAGGGCTGCATAAACATTTGAATATGTCACTCCAGGCTAGATGACATTTCGGATCTCTCATGTCCCTGATATTCCCTATTCTTTGTGGGGAACTCCCCAGCAGGGATTGCAGCGACTGCACATGTGTCCCTGTTAAAAATCTTTCCTTTGCCATCTGGTGTCGTAGTAGGAGATGTCGAAGGGCACATTGTCAAACCAAGAGCACGTGCCGCTTCCACTACATGCAGAGAAGGACAGGTGTGTTGATTTGTCTTCAGGGCCAGTTTGGTGGGGACAGCAGCAGCAGCAGCAGGCACAGGCAGGAGCCCCCTGCTTCTCTTCTCCCTGCAGCCTGAATCAGCCCAGCTGCCTCCCCATGAGAGTGGCAGTTTCCATTCTCTTCTTAAAGAAAGAGTAATTAAGACAGATATGCAAATGGTACCCATTCCAGGGGTGCTCCCCTGCAAAAGAATTATGCAAATCTAAAAGTGATTAGCTACGGACACTACCTAATTGAATAGCAATGGAAAGTGTGCCCCCGGGCATGGGGGCTGGCCTCAGAGACATTGGGTAAGGAGAGCAGTAAGTGTTAGCAGCACTTTAGCGGTGCTAATGTGTAATTACAAATGAGCTGATTCCTCCATCTTATTCATTACAGCCAGCCCCTCCGGGAGCACTGTCGGGCCACACTTAGTTAGCAGTTAATAAGCCATTGCACGTGCCAGTCAGCAGCAAAGTTGCATTTTTCCTAACACTTTCATTCACATTGGCCTCCCCACATCGGATCAGCAAACATGAGATTACCCTGTTTCTTTCCACATGGACTCTAGAATCCAAATTTGAGAAATACCATACCCGCCACCTTGGAAGTGGGAATTTGGTGATTCGACATTAGTTAAGACCCTCCCCCTCTCAACCCAGCTCCTAGCTTGTGAAAAAATACTGATGCCAGGTACCATCCCACCCCTGTAGGTCAGAATCCTGGGAATGAGGCCAAGGAATCGGAATGTTCTTAAAATATCCCAAAGAATTCTAAAATGTATCAAGATTGAGAACCAGTGGCTTTTGTTACCTGACGGTCACTCAACCACACTGCCCATATCCTGCTGTCAGGCCAGGACTCTTCCTTGCATTGGCCCCTTCTTTGCCAGGAGGGTGATCACACCACTGGTATGTCACACGCTAGTCATAGGACAGTGGATTCATGCAGAGCAAGTAGGCATCAAAGACTCCAGGTATCAAGAGCCAAAACCTTTTCCGCCTCTAGCCCAAGGTTCAAGAAAGACTCTGCTCCAGTGTTTCCTGGCTCGCTGGGATCCTGAGCTTGGGAGAGGGAGTGGGAGATTTAACTATGGGAATTGGATTGTGCCCTGAGTGTACGGGCCAGGAAGAGACATGAAGAAGGTGATGAGAGGAATCCAAGTTTAGGAAGAGGAAAATAAAATAATTAGCCGTGCAGCTGCTAAGCCATAAAACTGAGAGTGAAGGGGGAGGAAAGGCAGTTAGCGAAGTGGACGTGAACAGACACATGTCCGGCAGCCAGGAATGGTGACAGCTGCCCATTTTCTGTATGTGGCACCCAGATTAAGCACGTGTCCTCACACGTCCAGTGCAGGGCCTGACAAAAGCAGATGTCAGATGAAAATATGAATGCCTGGGCTTGCCTTAGCACTGGCAGGGCAGGGCTCTACAAGGAACCCCATCAATTTCTAGTCCATTTTGCAAAACCCAGTAAATCAACATGGGTCCCACTGCCTGGCATCATCCCTGCATATCTCAGAAGAGTGGAAATATGGGACATCTAGAATTACCAGCCCTTCACACATGGGCTGGCTCAGTGGCCTCGGTGGTCCAGCTGTCCTCTCCTGACCCAGATGTAATCTCTCCCTAATGAATTTTCTCTCTTGATATCTCAGGCAGATGGCTCAACAGGAGAGCAAAAGCATTCCCAAATCTTACAGCATGATTCTGTACACACAGGGAAATGTGGAGTTTATTTTGCTTTTTTTTTTTTAAAGAGGTGCAATGAACACAATAGTGACTTTGAGAATCCCCATGCCTTACTAGAAACAGCCAGGCTTTTCCTGGGATCCGGGTCCTGCCCGGACTTTGCTCTGTTGGTGTTCTTGCTGGTATTTGCTATATCTGATGTTCCGCCTGTTGTCAGGGACATATGAGAGCGTCACCTGAGGACTCTGCTGTGCAGGTCATTCCTCCTCACCCAAGGGGCTCCAATGCTGCATGATGCTTTTTGCTGCTCACAGCTCCTCAGTGAAAAATGGGGAACCTGTGGCTTCTTTCTTGACATTTTAGCTTCTTTTCCTGGAGAAGAGGAAGGAAATAAAATACACCATACCATTGGTATAGTTATCACACAGAGCAGATGGCACACTCACAGGTGCTCATTAAAGGCTAGTCTCTGGGCAGAAGGGAAAAGGTCGGGTTCAATACAAAATGTTCTATGAATCCTGAAATGTCAATTAAGCACTAGATGGGAGAGAGGCATACACAGGCCTGTTCCCTGTAGACAAGGCTCACAGTCCCAGGAAAGGGAGAAAGAAACTCAGAGATGACCTGTTCCAGTGGCTCACACACCTGGCTGCATAGAGAACCACCTGGGGAGTTTTTAAAGCAGGTTGGTCTTGTTCTATCCAAGAGACAGAATCACAGGCATGGGATCCTGGCATGAGTTGTTTTTTTTGTTTTGTTTTTTTGTTTTTTTAGTTCCCCAGATTATGCAATTCTTGTGCTCAGGGGCACTTAAGTATGGCAGAAATGAGACTGAAAGCCTAGCCTCCCCTACTTCAGGGAGTCCTGAACTTGACAGTGCACATGAATCACCTGAGGAGATTCCTGTTAAAATGCAGATTATGATTCAGGAGTTCCAGGGTGGTCCTGAGATTCTGCATTTCTGAAAGGGTCCCAGATGAAGCAGATGTTGCTGCTGGTCCTGTGACCACCCCGTGAGGCTCCAGGCCCTGGCATCCACTTCTGTAAAGAGATGAGTCACATACCTCCTGACCTGTGGGCTTTCTAACAACAAGGTCAGAGAGCCAACATGGCACAGAGGTTGGGGGGGGGGGGGGGATCCATGTTTTTTTATCCTTATTCTGGAATTTAATTGTTGTGTAATCTTGAGCAAGTCACTTAACCTCTCTCATCTTCAATTTCCTCAGTTGCTAAAATAGAAAGGAAACTAATACATAGCTTACAAAGTCGTTGGGTGATCACATGAGACATGTGAAATTGTTCTGTGAACTGTAAAGCATTACAAAGTGTAAAAGTTTATTGTAAGATTGGAATTTGAGAGACACTAATATTAGCCTTTAAAATGTTGGTCTTTTATATGTGCATACACATTTTTATAGCTTTTCTTTCTCCCAATAGAGGCATGTGTATGTGGGCACATGTCCAATAGATGAGTTCTATCTCCTAAAAGGTTTTAATTCTGTCTATGTATTTTTGCACGTGTAGAGTTATGTGTGTGTGTGTGTGTGTGTGTGTGTGTGTGTGTGTTCTTGTCCCTTTGCCTGGGGTGCAGGGAGGAACTTGCAAGGAAATTCTCCTTAACCAGGAGGATTCGAGAATGCAAAGCAAATGTTCAGGAGCAGTAGCCAAGTTGGTAGCTCGATTGCTCCTTCCCACTGCATTAGCACACCCCCAGGCAATGCAAAACGGCTTCAAGCCCTGGCCAACCTTATCTCAATGTTCTCTATGGCTACATGTCCCTGCTGGGGTGAGTACTGAAGCAACATCTTGTGTCTAGCCTAGCCAGGGAGATTGTCTCATAGGACCCTAACCCTCTTTGAGCTTTGAGTTTTGAGCTTTGAGCCCCAAGTTTACATTGGCATGGTCTGGCCAACACCAGTCATGCCATTCATGTATGTTCATTCCCAAAAGAAATAAAAGCTTTGGCAAATTCTTGGAGCACACTTTGGAAGCCGCTGCTGAGGTTGCGCAAACACATTTGGCACATGCTTCAGGGACCAAGCAGTTCTCTGGGTTGAATCGCAGAAACAAAATGTACTTGTCCTACTTCCGAGATGGTGTCTGAGGACTTGGCTCTCTCGGCCGAGGAACTGCCTCCTCGCTGATGTCATACCTCCGCGGAAAGGCAAACATCTCTGGGTTCAGCAGTTCAGGACCAGAAGAGAGAGAAGATGGGGATCAAAAGAGAATACACATGGGCTCGACGCCGTCATTACACCTTAGATAGACACACGCACACCAATTCTTACAAATGAGTTATCTTAAAATAAAAATGCATTGGCAGTTTGGGAGGAGGGGCCATCCAGCTGAAAACCCCCCTGGCGAGGGTTACTGGTCACGATGCCACCTCCACTAAGTGGGGCTTTATGGGGTTCCAGGTGCTGCCACGCACACCCCACAGGAGCACCCATTCCCAGAGACCCAGGAGGACAACCGGCACCCAGACCGTATGGACGAAAGTAATTTCCACACAGCACTCACGCCTCACTTCCATGTCACTGCGTAACATCTGAGACACTCAGTGACTGCGTTTTCCCAGCCAAATCCAGGCGGATCCTGCTGGACTGGAGCACATTTCTCAACCCCAGGTTATTTCTCAGCACACAGAGTACCAAGGCTGCTCCTGCCTCTTCAGAGGGCCTTTCTGGAGATGCAGCTTCTTTTACTGACCCCCACAAAAAAAAGGATTATCTTTCCCACATACATATTTGCCACCTACAAAATCCAGAATTTTTATTACCAGATCAGACCTCCCTAATGCTTAATGTTTCAGACCACAGAGGCCCGCATAGCTTTGTGGCCAGAATAAAAGCCACCATGAAATTAGTTGTCACAAGGGTCCAATGTCCCCATCATGTGGACATTTGTATGACCAAGTCTTAGGAAGACAGAGAAAGATGTGGACTTCCCTTAAGGGATGATCGATCGTCTGGGGGCCCATCCGTGGCTGTCCACTGGAATCTGTTGGAAGTTTTTTTAAAAGCTCCAGTACAGCTGGGTCCTCACCAAACTATGTGTATCGGAATCTCTGAGGGAGCCCAGCACCAGTATTTGTTTCAGGCCCCTCCACTGATTCTAACAGATGTTTGGGACTGGAAACCATGGCTCTCCCCAAATCCCCTTTCTTCCAAGGTGAGAATGTTTTGTCCTAAAGAATTCAAATTCAAGAATTTAGTTAAGTTCACACAAATAATTAGGGACAGAGCTAGGACCAGAGCCCAGTTATAACAATTGCTGGGCAGACATCCTGTTTTAACTCGAGGTAAGCCGAAGTAAAATTTTGTACATGTGCAGTCAGGGGAGCCACTTTAGAAATGGCTAAGAGTGAGGCTGCTGGAACCAGACTCCCTGGGTCTGCTTGTTGAAAGAATTACTTGATTGATTGATGTGAATTTCAGTTCTGCCAATCTATCGTGGGGCATTGACAAAATGCTTTGCAAAACCTCATGTCCTTTGACTATAAAATGGGAGTAGGTGGTGTTTGGGGTGGGAAGAGTAATTATAGTGTCTTACTGCTGGAATTGCAAGCTTTTAATGAAATAATATTCATAAAATGCTTTGCATAGAGTTTGGCACATAAGAAATGTTTGATAATGTGGACTGTTGTTAGTATTATTATTATTATCACAGATGTACTAGTACTAGTCCTCAGGGTTTATGGTACTAATATCTGAAGCCAGCAGCATGTAAAGGGTAGGAGACAGGGGTGGGGATTGACCTTCAAGGACACTCAGCAGTAAACATGCAGGGACTAAGACACCATGGTCCAAGAAAACATGGCCTTTCTTGACTTCCAAACTGATTTACTGGTTCAAATTCTAACCACATTGCTTGGAATGAGACTCTCAGTCCTTCTTCCATCTGGGTTCTTTAAATATGTGCAGTCTCTGTGTTCAGACATTCAACTGACAGTGGAGTAGAGACTGAAACCTTTAACCTTCATCCCACCAAATAAGACTGAATAGGTCAAGGAGGCCTCCCACCCCAAGCACTTAAGTCAGATCCCAAGCTGCAGCAGAAGAAGAGACAATCGGGACTAGAACATTCCTTCCCCAAACCTCCTCCTGATTTCAGTATCTATATTATAGACATCATCATTTCTTGCTCAACTTGATTCAAAACTTTATCCCTTCATGATTCCCCTCTGTTCTTCAATCTCTACCTCCAGTGTGTTAAAAAAAAAAAAAAGAAAGAAAGAAAGAAAGAAAAAGCCCTCCTTAACTTTCACCTGAATTATTCTCCTGAACTCTCTGCCACTGGAAGTGTGACCAGCAGCTTTGGCACCACCCAGGAGCTTGTTACAAATGCAGCATCTAAGATCTCACCCTAGACCGACAGAATCAGAATCTGCACTTTAACAAATCCCCAGGTGGTCCATGTGCACATTCAGGTTGAGAAGCACTGGGCTGACTGATGTTCCTCCTGACTTCTGCCCATTCTCCTCATGTTATACAGTGTTGCTGATTAACTCCCTGAAGTGCTGCTTGACACCACTCCCAAGGTCAAAACCTGCAACATTCACCATTGATACCAAACCAGGCAATGCTAACATTTCATATGTATGTGTCCAGGGCTTTCAAATCACAGAGCATTTTCGTTTAGCATTTTATCTAAGGTCACATCTGATCTATCAGAAATTTTATGGTGATACCCCAAATATCCTAAATCCAACCATGTTGAATTTGTCAAATTCTCCAGAGAAACAGAACCAATAGGAAATAGATAGATAGATAGATAGATAGATAGATAGATAGATAGATAGATAGATTGATTTAGGATACAGTGAGTGGATAATCTACATAGAAAAAAAAGGAAATATATATATGAGGGTACTCCAAAAAGTTCATAGAAAGATTCGTATTAACTTTTTTTTTTTTTGACCGGTAAAGGGATCACAACCCTCGGCACAGTGTGGTCTGCACCACGCTCAGCCAGTGAGCACATTGACCATCCTTATATAGGATCCGAACCCACAGCCTTGGCGCTACCAGCACCGCACTCTCCCAAGTGAGCCACGGGGTCGGCCCTCGTATTAACTTTTAATTCTATTTTTCCACACACTTTTTAAAGTACCCTCGTGTGTATGCGTGTATATGTATATGTGTATATATATATACATACATATATATGGAAAAAGACAGAGAGACAGAGATAAAAAGATTTATTATAGGGATTGGCTCACACAGTTATGGAGGCCATGAAGTCTCATCTTCTACCATCTGTGAGCTAGAGACCCAGAAAAGCCAGTGTGTGATTCAATCTGAGTCTGAAGTCCTGAGAATCAGGGAAGCCAGTGGTGTAAGTCACAGTTCAAGTCTAAAAGGGTGGGGCAGGGGTGGGGGACAATGCCCCAGGGCAAGCAGAAGAAGACGGATGTCTCAGCTCAAACAGGGAGAAAATTTGCCCTTCTTCCACCATTTTTTTCTATTTAGGCCCTCATTAGATTGGATGAGGCTGACCTGCTTTGGGGAGGGCAATCTCCTTTACTCAGTCCACTGATTCAAATGCTAATCTCTTTCAGAAACACCCTCAAAGACACACCTGGAAATCATGTTTAACCAGCTATATGGGCTCCCCTTAGCCCAGTCAAGTTGACACATACAATTCACCATCACACATGTAACCACCGCATCTAAGCCACCAGCATTCCTTGCCTAAATAAATTACCACAACAATCTTCTGTCTGGTCTCCGCCTTCCATTCTCTCCCATTACAAGTCTCTTCTCACAGAATAAATTGAATCATGCCCTTCTGTTGCTTGAAACCAACCAGTGTTTCCCGTTGTCCTTGGAATCAAAAAATAAACTTTCCCTAGACCACATGGTCTTGTAGGACCCATCCTGACCATCTTAAAGAACTTGCCTCCTCAGTTCCTCCCCTGCTCTCCAACCACACTGGCCTTCCTGCTTATCCTCAAACATGGACTTGCTCTCACCCTCTGCATGGAGCTCTAGTCCCTCCAATCTTCACGTTTCTGTCTTATTTTCATCCGTTGT